CACAGTTTTGCGAGGCTTACATCTGACGGTGGACGCAGTGGCCCCGTAGTGGCGGTGGCTGTAGCTTTGGCCATGTAGGGGAATCAGAATCAGACTCAGAATCACGGGCGCATGGTCATCATCAAGGCGATCGGATCGGATCGGATCGGTTCGGATCTCGCTGCCGGCGTCGCTGCGATGGTCTCGAAATAATAAGATGACATCCAACACTTCTTGCGATCCGAGAGGCACAAACACACACGGGCACAAAGCTCGAGACCCTACCCCCGTACCCAATGCCCATATGTGCCCTTTACCCTGTCCCTGCCCTGTTCCCCTAGCAACCCCCTGTGCCTGCCAGCCACACAGTCCGTTCCAAATATTTTTCATATAAAAAATCGCATTTTTTCCCTCTCGCGCATAATAAAACTTTTTCTGCATGCTTTTCATTTCATTTCCTTCGAGATGCGAGTTGCGAGATGCGAGATGCCGGGGTTGCTGAGGGTCGAGCGGTCCAAGAGGGGAGGGGGGGCGGCAGACAGCAGCGCACTTGGCCGCCGCACAAAGGAAGATCACGACGCAAGGACTTGTCTGCATTTAAATGGATGTAGGTAGTACTAGCACTCGCACTCACACCCGTCCCTAGAAGCGTCCTCGAATGTACCTGAACCTCCACTCTCGCAAAAGGATGGACATTGTCCAGGGCCCGAAACTTATTGAGCCACGCTGATATTTCAGTTTCGCCTTCGTTTTTTGCTTCGCTCTTCCCCTGGCTCGGCTTTAATCGCCGGTGGTTGCTCATGTTTTCGCTGCTGTACCCTCGAAATCAGCGAGCATCACTCTGGAGAAGCAAGAAAGCATCAATTTTGAAATCTATAGAAAGTCTGAGGAGTTAAGCTTAAAGCCAAATTATGTGGGTGACAGGGTTATTATTATTTATTTTTGATGTATGCTTTTTTATCAATATTTTGAATCATTAATTAGTAATGCTTCCAATCAATAATGCAGTTTTATATAAAAATATACCAATAACTAAAAGCTTTATTCGAAATAAGCATTAAAGAAATAAAAAGCTCAAAAATTTTAAATATGTATTTAGTAAATATGTTTTTTCAAACGATATATAAAAATATCTCGTATCCGAAACCTTTAAATTCAGAATGTAAAACTTATTAAGCTGTAGTAAATAAGCTGACATAAATAAAAATACTAAATTCACAAAGATTTTTAAATAACATTTAATTAGAAATATGAAAATAGGAAGATCAAAACACTTTTCTAACTAATAGGAAACATTTAAATTAAAAATGTATCTAATTGAAGTAAACATTTTTTAATGTGATAGTTTCTGTTTCGCAAGAAATGGTATCTTTTTGTTTTTCAAAAGGAGCTTTTGTTACTGTTTTCCAAGCTTTTAATATTAAACTAGCATTATTCTAATGGACGTTTTTCATATTTTAGTCACCGTTGCGAAACGTTGTTTACCCAAAATCTTAAATGCCAGCCCAGAAACAGGGACAGGATGTGGATGACCAGCCGCAGCGAGGACATCAGCGAACAAGAAAAAAAACGAGCCATGAAGGAAGGAAACTCAATGCGACATTTGCATTTTTAATGCAGACCCACATATAAAACTACGTTTTTTATGAGTTGATTTTGATTTGCTTACTTCTTTTTATATATTTTTTGCATTTGGCCAGCGACTGGTTCTAATTTTTTTCGCTCGCCGTATCCTTTTTTTTCGTTTTCGTTTCATAGCGCTGCGAGAGGCGGTCGCTTGACCATCGTGTCTCGTCCTTTGGCCATTGTCTGTGCCACGGTGTCACCTTCGAGCGGCCAGCAGGATGAGCAGGATCAAGGGGATCAAGGGGATCGAGGGGATAAAAAATGGGAAGGGGCAATAGCCAGAGCGCTGACCACGCAGACAAGACAAAAAGCTAAGCAGAAAAGCACACAACGGGAGGAGCGCAGTATCCTTTTGTGATATATGAGTAAGTTGTACCTGAAGGATATGCGCTGAGCCGTTGAGCACACACAAACTGGAGGCGAGCAGGCTGCACCAACACCATCTCACTGGCACACTATCATCTTTATGCGACTTTGCCTCGGAGTTTATCATTCGATATCGAGCACAGCGTGATTATATTGTGGATGAAAGGGGATGCGGATGCCCATGCGGATGCGGATGAGTATGATGACCGCACCCGTGGCCTGGACACCCTGAAATCCTGCAGAAAGAGAGAGAGAGAGCTCGAGGAGCACCCCTCGATGATCTTCTCGGGTCGCGGTCTTTGTTTTTATGGCCATGGCTGGTGGGAAAATTTATCTAAATTGTCGATGGCGTTCTTTTTTTTTTGCATTTGATTCTTTTGCAAAAAGGATTTCTCTTTCTTTCGTTTTTTTGTCATATTGTGGAATGTTTTGTCGTCACTTTTGGAATGAAGCAGCTATAGCGGCGAAAGCAAAATAAAAAATAGAAGAACGGCGGAATGATGCGCCAGCGGATGGCCAAAGTCCATAAATTAAGCCCGAGGCAGGGACGGAAGGGCAACGCATCTGACAGCGGACGGGATCGATGCGAGGAAGTAGAACAAAAAGCTGGCAATTGGATGAAGGTGTTAAAATATAATGCGCCCTTGTGCCGCATCCTGCCAAGGACCCTTCGATTCGATTCAAGGCGATTGCCGAGGCAACGCTTTGATGTGCCAGAATAAACAGAAGGAGAATTTCCAAAATATTTCCCCAATTAGCTGTCAAAAGGAAAGCGTCGGCGACGGCCACTTGACGTTGCCGGCGGAAAAATCAACAAACTGCGGAAAATTGCTAAAGGATTGCAGAATGTTGTGACACGCAACCTGCAAAAGCATTCGCAATTATTTTTAACGAACGCGTCAAGTGGGTGGCAAGAGGTCCTGGGTCAATGTTCGCCATCGCCATTGCCGTCGCACATCGCGCATACGCCCCGTAGTCTACCCTTTGGAAATTTCTGGGTCAGTACGATCCCAGGCCACCGGATTGCTGGCAAGATTAAGATCCATCGAAAGTAAAACAAGAGCCAGCTGACGCGGCATAAATCTGGGCAACTGCAATCTCAATCGCAGCTGCAACAGCAACTGCAACTGCAACGATTCTCGACGTTCACGCAATCAACGCATTAAATCAATTTTAACTTGGCCTACTTTTGCCTTTCGCCGTTGCATGGGGCGAGTTCTTCTCACCGCGTTGTTTTTATTTTCTAAAACAAAAGGCAGAACTGCCGACCCTTGCAACGAGCAATGCATTGCAACACAGCAGCAACATAGCAGCAGAAGCAACAGCCGTGCAGCTTGCACATGGCACAGCCTGGGAAACCGGGAAGATGCAGGCAAGGATTCGGAGGGAGACCTCTTCGACGGCGGAGGAGGGACGACGAGGACGGTCCCGGCCCATTGAAATGCAATCTGCGCACACATGGCGACGACAACAGCGCTTATAGTTCGCCCGCTTGTACTATATTTACGGATATTTTGAACGTGGTTAAAGTGCAAGAACGCGTTTTTGTCGCCGCCAAATGAATACGAAATTTCTCACCTACATTACCAAGCTAAGGTCCCACTACCTTCATGAATCACGTTTCAGATGGTGTGCATTTGCTTTTAGACAGTTTCGTTTACATATTTTAGTTTTTGCTATAATAGCTTGGCTGGGTTCACTGAACTTTGTGAAATGTGTGCAGAAATAAAATGCGTACTGCAAATTGTACTCAAGGAAATAATATCCAATTTTTGTATGGCTTAAGTTTCCAGTTCTGGTATAAATATGTACAAATTCAATATTTTTCCATCTGCAAAAACGAAGTAATTTAAAGATTTATTTTAAGCCCACCTCGAAGCTTACGAGTCATTATCGTCAGAGAAAAGAATATCCCTGAATGTGGCGAAAGCTGTCGACCGAAGGATATCATATCATCGACATCCGAGCGCAGCATTTTAAGTCGTTTTTTTCCATAACCAAAACCCCTCTTTTGCTTGCTCACATAACCGCTCGGCATTGCAAAATATTACATGGCTATTTACTTAACCTATTAATTCCGCAGTCGAAAAAATGATGCGGCGAGGTGCTGACATGGCAAAGGGCTAACCAGAAACGGTGGCACAACCAGGAGGCCCAGGCCAGGATACCAGAACGCCAGAACGCCAGAAAGCCAGAACACAGGCAGCCGGCAAATATGCGAAACGTGGCGCGAAGAGCATGCTCAAGTGCCATGTACTTGCATTTGCATTATGTAAACTCACTGGGGCCCAGGCCATTCTACCATCCAGCCAAACTTGTTACACAGAAAGAATAAGACATATAATAAAATATAGTATAATATATACTATTTTAAGCAATTTACCCATTTGGCAAGTCTGGAATAAAAACGATGAATAAAAACTATGCTAAATATGCTTTATGATTGTATATCAACAGTGGCTAGATGAATTGAATATTATTTTTTTACGTGTACCGACTTACCAGTGAGCAGGCAGCCTGCCAAGTGAAGTGGGCATGTGGTTTACATAAGTCTGGGACTGGGACTGTGACTGAGACCCGGACTTATATCGAGGCAGGGACTGGACCTACACCAACAAAAGTGTGGGCAAAGGCTGGCTGAAAACGAAAGGAGTGCAAGGAACTTTGTGCCGGCGGCGCAAACTAATGAAGAGCAACTGCTATCGGGCGCTTTATGTAACCGTAGACATTGGTGTAATTCAAGCAGGCCACGGCATCAGCGTGTAATGCGAGATCCAGATGGGCAGGTCTGCCAACATAAACAGCATGGAACAGCTATAAGCTCACCCAGCAGAAGGGCCTTAAAGGGCCATCAGGATGCTAGCCAGCTTTTGCCAGGCGAAACAACTACTTACACAACAGTAAAATGTACATAAAATATATAAAAATATATTTAATTAAACCTTTGTATTATCATAATGTACCTTTCCCCCCAAAGGTTTTAATTTAAATATAGACCTATTTTATATATGTTAAACTATAGCACTTACCCCTTTCAAGCTGTCCCGATGGGCTGGCTAATGACGAGTACAATTCCGGGCTGAAATTCCGATACGAATCTCGGCCAAAGTTGTGGGAAACTGCAAGAAAAAGAAATCAAAGAAACAATTAAATTGTTTTAACATTTAATCTCACCTAGAAAACAGAGATTGATAAGGGACGATTCAGAGAAATATAAATTTGGATCGTATCGTAGATAAGAGGTCTTTATCGCACTTAGCTAACAGTTAAGCATATACACAATAGCGGCTGCCATTCAGTACTTAAAAATCATTTCAACTCGAACCAACTGATTGCTGAAGATGGCTGAAAAGGTTGATTTCGCAGATTTGGAGCTGAGCAGGGTGAGTCATACTTGCAATTTGGTTCGGGATTAATCGTTGCCGATTTTCAGAAGAGACTTGGAGCCGGAGCCGGTGGTGAGGTTCGGATGGCCAAATGGAAGGACCAGGAAATCGCGGTGAAGGTGTGCGAATTTCTGACTAACTCGCTTAAGAAAAACGCAGAAAGGGAAATCACACATTTGTCGAGAATAGACCATGAAAACGTTATCAAGGTGTTCGGCACTGCCAGCGATGACGACACTAACACCAACTACTTGCTGATGGAGTATCTGGAGGAAGGGTCTCTACACGATTTTCTCTACGCCGACAATCAGAGGGAGTATACGGTGGAGCAGGCCGTGCGCTGGGCATTTCAATGCGCCAAGGTAAGGAATAGGGTCGCCTATACCCCACCCATTGCTTATGTGACCCATTTTGCAGGGTCTAGCTCACTTGCATTCGATGGAGCGACCGGTGTTCCATCGGGATATAAAGCCGCAGAATTTGCTACTGACTAATCAGTTTGAGAACCTGAAAATTTGCGACTTCGGTTTGGCAACGGATATGTCCAATAACAAGTCGGATATGCGAGGTACCCCAAGATATATGGCCCCAGAGGTGCGTAGACCGAGTAGGTTTGCCAACATATCATTAACTAGCACCTTCTAAGTACAGGTGTTTAAGGATAAAAAGTACACGGATAAATGCGATGTGTACAGCTTGGGAATAGTGATCTGGGAGATAATGTCGCGAAAACGTCCCTATTTTCATTTGGAGAATCCGGAAAATGAATTCGCCATCTTGAGTGCTGTTGAAATGGGTAAGAAATAGAGTTCTATTTATAATATATTATAATATTATATAGCTGTTTCAAGATAATCAAAAGTCTTGACGTTACTGCATTTATATTTTAATAATTTAAAGCTTTATATTATGATTATCAACTAAGAATAGGGTTTGAAGTGCAACAACTATTTTTCTAGCAAAATATAATAATTTATATAAATCGCTTTTCAGGCGAGCGCCCAAAAATGGATGCAGTGAGATCCGATTGCTGGAATGGCATCAAGCATTTGATAGAATGTTGTGTGGATCCAGATCCCGATCGACGCCCCTCCATGCAGCGGATTGAGGAGTACCTGGGCGATGTGTGCGTCGGCGGGCAATACGAGGACTTCGTCCACATCCTGGACGATGACTCCGTGGCCGTGGTGACCTTCCACAAGGATGAGTCCGGCAATCGCAGCATAATGCGCGTCGATCTATGGCGCAGGCATTGGCGCTCGGTCCGCATGACCTTTCCGATTGTGCAGCGGGAAGCGGAGCGATTGGGAAAGGTCATCGCTCGCGAAACGGTGAGAGCGGCCGGGGATGTGGGCACGGAGACGGCCAGGGCGGCCCACGATGTCGAGCGGGAGACGCGCCGGGCGGAGAGGGACACCGAGCGGGAGGTCTCGAGGGGGGCCCACGATGGCGAGCGGGAGACGCGCCGGGCGGCCCAGGATGTGGGTCGCGAAACTGGACGGGCGTTCAACAAACTGAAGAAGAAGCTGCGCTTCTAAGCGCCGTACATGAAATATGATTATTAATTCGTTATGCTAATGTGCGGGGAATGATTAATAAAGCCGACTGCATGCGGAGAGTCCTTCCATAGCAACCCCTTCACAACGTCCGATGCCGATGTCGATGCAAATGCAAATGCAAACTGCAAGGGGTAGGCCTATGAAAAGCTTAGACTGCATTAAGCACGAAGGATAAGGAATACGGACGGAACGGTAGGGATGTGAAGGATGTGATGTGATGTGATGTGAACAACAGCCAGGATGACGGGCCATAAGGACGATGGCGATGGCGATGACAGCGACGCTGAGGGGTGGAGGTGGAGTACAGTATGTACCAAGCGGTGCATTGCTGCTCCTGGCACAGCGCGACTCCTTGGCGTTCTTTGCATTGTTTTTCTCTTTCCATATATGTTATACCACACATGCCACACATCATATGCCCCTGGTTGTGTGTGTGTGTGTGTGTGTGTGTGTGCGTGTATGTGTGACCGGAAACTGCCATTTAAAGTGCATTTTGGAGAGTCGCTCAGTCAGAAGAGAAACGGAGCGAGCTAAGTGAAAAGAAGAATTCTCCCCTTCGCATTCCCCATTTTTTCCTGGCCTCGCTGTTGTTTTTGCATGCAAGCTGTAGAAGCAGAGAGCTCCTTTTGTGAGCGGTCCTTCAGGCCCTCAGTCCAACAGCCCCTTGCCCCGCCCCATAAGAAAGCCTCCTCCGTCACCACCAACACGTGTAATCCAACTCCTTTTAATTACATTCAATACCCCGTCCACAAATGTCGTCGTCGTCGTCGTTGTCCGTCTGCTCCAAGGTGTTGGCAGCCACGTTTTGTTTTGTTTTGTTTTGCATTATTATTTTAACCTTCTGTCCAAATATCGATTTTCAGGTGCAGCAGATCCCAGGTCCAGCTTTTGTAAGCTCAACGAGGTGTTAAAACATTTAGTAAGAGATTGGCTGTAGAGGTCCCGACGACCAGCATGCAAAATGCAATCAAGTGACACTAATCTCGATCGGGAGATCATATTTGCACAAACTGCATTGGGCTTCACTTGGCACGGAGCTGCAATCTGCAGATACTGCACTTCATCACTGCAGTAAGCTGAGATGCGATGCGATAAAAAGGGAGGAATAAGAATAGCCAGCAGATTAATTAGACCCTACTAAAGATAATCAAAAGGTTAATTTCATACAAAGAATTATATTTAATCCTTTAAAAGATAGAAAATATGTTCAACACAGGACAAACTGTTTGTATAACCCTTTCAAAAAAAATTATTCAAATCTTTTTCGATTATTTTACATAAACTTGTTTCCTGCTGGGAAGAAAATGGTACTTTTCCCATGTATTTTTGTATTTAAACGGGCATTAAGACTTGGGAAGTACAAACAGTTAATTCTTTTACACATTTAAATAAAGATGGTTCTAGGTTCTGGTTTTCCGCTTCGTATCTTTTAACCACATTTAGTCAAACCCTTTTATCAAAGGGTCGCATATAAGTATCAGCAGGCGAGCGAGTTTATACTAGGCAACCTATTCATTATCCTTCCCATTAAATTGCCGTGTCCGCCCCTCTGCATCCCGCCCACGTTTAATCCCTGGACAAAAACAAAAACAAGAACAAAACTAAAGGGAACTTTAAACGTTCACGCTTGGCTTGGTCTCAAGAATCGCTCTGGGCCCCCTACTTGAGCCATTTGCCGGCAGACAGGTCAGGCCAACCAGCGTTTTCAGAGGAATAGGTCAGTACGGCCGAGTGAGTATTTTCGAGTGCATGCGAGTGTGCCACTGTGTGTTATATGTTGTATGTTACATGTTATACGTTGGTTGTGCGAGTGCATTCCAAGTTTCAAGTGTACTATATATGTGTGTTGTAATAATTTGCGAGCTGAAACAAAGGCGGAATGGGAACGCGACTGGCAGCACATGCTGCCACTTTGGATAAGTGCCGCAGGACTTGGCTGTACATTATGTGTAATGAGACCGCTCGCCCCGTGCACTCTTCCTCATCCCCGATCACTTCCCGCTCTACCGCTATGCAGTCGGCCTCACACCGCAGCGGGGTCAATGACAGCCGAGAAGGTCAAACACACGCACACACTTGGCGAAAAACTAGAACACAGCAGTTCAGTAACTATCAACACAATCACAGAATCGGTTGAGAATCGGTTGTTACACTGCCATCAATTAGATAATACTAATTGTCCAAGCCCAATATCCGCTAGTCCTGCTAAAAGCTGTCACCAAAAGCGATTTTTAAGAGCTCATAGCATGCAAACTCAAAAAAAATGTTGAATACCATCTCATATCATTGGAAAATAGCTAAGTTATATTTCAAAAACTACATTGAGGTCACCAAAAAAATTGCTAATTACAATTAATGAAGCTATATACATCACAACATTGCAGATCTTATTGTCCTTAAGTTAAATATTAAAGTTTTCAATTTAAATGCTAGGGCATGAGAAAAATCAATGTATTTATTATTGTAGTATTTATCACATGAAATGCAGAGGTTGAAAACGGCAAAAAAAGCCAGGTTTTTCGAGCACCTACTAGTGAAAAAGAGTTATGAGCCAGTGTTTAATGTTTCTCCTTGTGTCGACAACTGAAAGTAGTGCGCAAACGGAGTGGCGGCAGGATATAGCAGATGAACGACTTCAATTTTACACGCAGAGGTCAAACTTGGAGCGGGACCGGTGATTAATGTCACCCAAACCTCTCGACATCTGCTGGATAAAGTATCTCCTAGATAAATCTCAATACCAACGACCCCCGCCCCCTGCTGCCGTCCAAAAATGCTGGGGCAGCTGACGAATCGTACGAAATGTACTTCCGCTGCAAGTTTCGCTTCGCCTTTTTGCATTGCTGTACTCGCGTTGCTGAATCTAAATCTTAATCGGAATCTGAATTTGAATCTGAATCGGATTCAGGATCTGAGGCCGCGGCTGACCAGAGAGTAGGAAATCTTTTGTAATCGTGCGATAACCCCGGCGAGTGCAGAACTTGAAACTCAACCCTTAAGCGGAGTCTGGAACAATGCCAGCAGTGAGCAGTGAGCAGTGAGTAGTGAGCGGCGAACGGCAACTGCAATGCAAATGCATGTCCAGCCTAGCAGGATGCCAGGCAGTCGAATCGGATCCAGGCAGGTCCTTGCCGGCAATTAGAACAACACAAGCGATTGCCCAGGCCTTCCTCCACTTTTTTTTTTGTTTTTTTGTTTATTTACATACACACATCGGAATGGCATTATACTACGAATAATGGCGCAGGGATCGGGCGGTTCCTGCGATGCATTCTGCATTCCCATTGTGCTCGCAAAGCAGCGAGTCCTTTTTGCCGCGGCCACGCCGTGTCTTTTGTGCCGGTCAATAAGCCCCTGCCCTCCTGGTGGTGGGGATGCATTGACCGACAGAGGACATCGAACGGGGCGCGGTTCGAAATGCATAACAAGCCGCAGAAAGGAGCGAAGCCATTTGCATTGTGCCATCGCACAGGGACAGGAAGCCGGATAGGCCAGAGATGAAATTAATACGCATAAATTACATGGCGGATACGCGATGAGCAGCCCTGGGAAAATCCCAGACTGCCTCCAACTGGGCAGTCCGTCTGCAACAGATACCTCCAGCCCCGGAATGATCATCGTTGCTTTTCAAGTAGTTCATAGCAAGCCCTAATTAAAAGTCTCGGCGTTCGGATTTAAACATTTTGCAAATAGGACAAACGACACAAGTTTGTGCACAATGCAAAAGTTTGCGATGGTAAAAATAGCGGGTGCACTGGAAAAATTAGCGGGCGTTTACTATTGCTTTTATGCACTTGCATTATGTTAGGAATAAACATTCTAAATGTATATAAATGTATGAATATTCATACAATTAAAATTAAACAAAATTTGTGAGGTTTAAAAATAATCAACTAACGTATACTGTGACAATCCCTTAAGTCTAGTTATGACTTATTTAAATATTTAAATTTTTGTCATAAAATATATAAAATTTAAGATTCGATAAAACTATACAAACTTTTAATGAATCTTACCCAATTTCAATTAATGGCAATCCAATATATGTATTAATATTGATTTATATAATGATTGGATGGATTGGTTGAAGTTTAAAATATATAAATTGATGTACATTTTTCACTGCCATGTAGGCGCTGGGAAAATGTGGCCACTTAGGGCTTTGCAGCAGGTAACGTGAAAACTGTTTGCCAACTGAGGCACAGGAAGTCGCCTGGATAGAACAGGATAGAGACGGCTAGAGCGGTGAATCGAAGCGGAAGGGGAAGGGGAGGGGACCAGGACACCACCGACTGCAATTTGCTGAGACTTCAGAACTCAGAAACGCTGCTGCTTGTCGGCCATTCCCTTTCCGGTTGTGCTTGGCAACTTTTGCTATTGTCGTAGGTCCTCGAAACGGGAGCAGGACAAGTCAAAGAACCAACAGCCGTCTGGCTAGGCCACTTGCCCCGCAGCTAGCCAAAGGAACCTGCCGCAGGACTCGGGATCCGACGGCACACACGCCATATGCGCAGAAGGACAACAATTGAATTACAAAATTATTTGCTGCTGCTGTCGTCGTCGTTCTCGTTTTCGTTTTCGTCCTCATCCTCGTCCTCGCCCTCGTCGTTCTTCGACGGACAAAACTAGTTGTACATTGGCGGGGCGGCCAGACAGGATCGAAAGGAGCAGGGGGCAAGGATTCCCTCAAGTGGCTCTTGGCCGGGGCCGAGGACATGTTTTCTAAAACGGAAATTAGGTGACAGGACGAGCCGAACAAGCGGGCTTTTGGTTCTTGTCGACATCGTCTTGGGTCAACTTTAATTGCCGCTTTGTTCGGGCTGGCACACTCGCAAAAATAATAAGGACTAATAACTATTGAAAAAATATATTTGTCGTTTTGAAAAATTATTAGAAAACCAACGTTTTATTAAAAATTAAATAGAATTAAAAAAAAATTAAAATTTGTAATCCGAAATGTATAACTTTACCCAAGCTTAATTTAAACATCACTACTATTCTTCAAAATTGATGGAAAATTAAAAACAATTCAAAAATAGAAAATGGCGGCACTAAACTAG